TCTGATACATTTCGTTTTATTGTCACCCTTGAGCAAAATCAGCAACAAAATAAAATTAACAAACGAAATACAAACCAGTTACAACAACAAACACAACAACAACAAAAACACCAAAAATGCATCTACTTTCGATTGGGACCTCAGATGGGAATAGTTTGTTTTCTTCATCTTGATCAGTCCTGCCTAAGACGGCCACCTGTCTTATATGGCCACTTTTCTCCTTGACAATAGGTGGCCGTCTTACACAGGTTTGACTGTATTTATATTACTCGAATATATCAGCCTTTGTGTAACAGAATTGAAGTTTTGGACACTTTATGGAGATTATTTGTCCACTCAAGGTCTAACATAGTTTGTGTTTGCTGTTTGTGTTGTTCTGTTGTAATATTTGTATTTTAAACTGAATGTGATGTGTATGGACTGGATATATAATAATTGATGATGCAGAATTAAGGTTCAAACTTCTGAAGATGTGCAAGAAAAATTTGATCGATAATGAAGAGTGGGTCTAAGTTTGAGAAGGAGAGTGAAGGCAAGATAATATAGGTAAAGTCATAATTGACACTGGTAGGTGGGTGGTACAAAAGTTTTAGCCTCTTAAGGGTGGCAAATGTGGGTGCTGGCTACAAAGTTGATCAGCGTTGGTCTAGATTTCAGTGAGAAACTGTTTACCCTTAATAGAATTTAAGTGTCAGGAACATGGAAGCTCCTGCGAGCCTCCATAATAATATACACAAACTGTTTTTATAATTTGTAGAGATAATAATATATATGATAAAACTATTTCGTTTAGTGTTTTCTTCTTGAAAGTAGAGGATACATGCATATGATGATGAATTTTAGATAAAAATATTTTCTACATTTGTAGATTTCTTTATATATATATATATGTTCTCATTTTTGTTCCTTGTAACCAGTCGGAGCGGCTTCACATCTACCACAGCAACGTGAAGACACTGCTCCGCAATGGCTGGGCTTACCCTTGTTTCTGCACGGCACGACGCCTTGAGCTGATGAAAAAAGAAGCTGCACGGCGAGGAGAGCCGTCGAAGTATGACAACCGCTGCAGGTCTCTCAGCCAAGAAAAGGTGCAAGAGTTAATGTCGAAAGGGACTCCTTATGTCATAAGGCTAAAGGTGAGCGAATACATTTACTTTGTCGTTTGAGTGCAAAACCTGGCACACTGTTTAAAGCGACATCATGTTGTGTCTCAAATTGGAAAAAAAAATGCCCTGCAATAAGCTATAACTTCTGCTCTAAGTGTACAATGACAATGATTATTTTCAAATTAGTCAAATATTAAAATACTGGTGCCAAACTAATGTAGAAAACAGCTTTAGCCAGACTTGTAAACTGTTTCTACTTGTTACATGCTGGTTGGGTTTTTTAAAAGACAGTATGGAACTCAAATCCTTTTGGAAGCCTCATCAAATGCTAATCTGTGGGTGGACCCTTTAGTAAGATTACTGTGTCCTGAGGCAAGGGTCTGAACTTTGGTGAACTTCATTGTTGTTTTTATTGTATGAGTTTAGTAATTGATCTTTTGTTCATAGTAAATTGTTAATCTATCAAAAATTTTAATCGATTTTTGGTGCATTGATTTTTCTTTTCATGATTTTTATGATTGTATTTATTTGATATGTGCGCATTTTTGTGTGCTGTTACAGTAGAGGTTTCTTAAAAGGACAAAATGTGGGTACTGTTTTCAAACACTAAATTACCATCATTACGTTGATGTATGTGGGTCTATTTTACCATAACAAACAATATTCAAGAGATCAGTGTCTGTGGTGTAATGGTTCTGCTCTGAACTGTTGCTCACAGAAGACGTGAGTGTGATTCCCAAGACCAGAAGTCTGTTTCATCTCAGTCTTTCTGCAGGAATACTGTATCTCACTCAGCTTGGGGCGTGGCCTTGACAGGCAGGGTTGAAGCAACTGATCTCCCAAATGATCTGAATGTGTCAATGGGTTTGTAACACATTCACAACCTTTACAAACGAAAAGAGGAATGCAGATGCCAACTGCTTGGTGTAAGACTCTGCCATAATATCATATTATGATTATGCCATTTTGAAAAGTGCTGTAGGATGTAGCCTTACTTTGTGGCAGTCTATGTGTTTTGGGTTGGGGGTTTTTTTTCAGTTTGTTAAACTTTTTTTTTACCTCTTGCTATTTTTGTCTGCAGCTTGAACCGACTCCTGACCCCTGGGATGATATGATCAAAGGACCAACTTCTCACAACATCGCGGACATTGAAGGAGACCCGGTGAGTTAAAGGAAACATGCTCACATACACATGCACACGCATACCAAAAAGGATTTGAAATCTGTTAACCCCTCCTTGCCTGCTCTTGGGGCATAAAAAATAAAACCTGTTTTGTTTCATGTATATCTTCGACATCCCCATAATCTAAAACAAAGCGACGTGGTGTGTACTGTGTTGCACTCGAACTATGAAGTCAGTCTGCCTCTCTACAGTTCTTTCGTGCAGTCTACATTTGCCGTGATGGCTTCGCATAGGTTGACTAGGCCTACAGATCAGATTATTGCAGAAATTTATCAAGATGCAGACAATGATGACGAAGATTTCAGTTCATCTGAAGAGATTTTTGTCATCATCTCCAAGATGACAGTGATCTCGAATACGGAGATTGAATTTTTTTTAAAAATCTCACTTTTACCTGCCAAATTCTTTTCCAGAATTACCTAAAACTGATTTATACCAATAGATTGTTCGTTCATTTCTCTTTATATGATATACACTTTTCTATATTTAGTGCTTATAGTAAGCGAGCTATTACCACTCAAAAGCAGACCATGTCATACACCCCCACTGTGGAAATTTCATTAGCACACGTGGTAGACTTATGGTTAGCAGTCAAGGGGTTAAACCACACTCAAAACAATTTAGAAAAGATAGGAGACAGGCTATTTCAGCCATCCTGTCATGGCCAACTGTAGGTGAGTTGGAATCCGCGTCTTGGTAGATAAATAAACATAGTAGATGATTTTACTTTCAGAAGGGAATCTAAACCTTGTCTTCTGCTTACAGTGTCCATAGATCTCATCAGTTCACCACAAATTGACTGCTTGTGTACAGCTCTGCTTTACGCCATTTTGAAAAAAGAAATATAATGACAGTCTTACACTGAGAAGGCAAAATGCTGATACTCTTGGTACCCCCCTACAACAGGAACAAAATCTGTTTTTTTTTTGGTGCTGTTTTGTAGATATTACCGGTGCGATATAAAAAAATATGCTGCATATTTTGAAAATGAACAGTCCTTTTTTTACTCTGTAACTTTGTTTAATTTTTTCCTACCTGAGGGCTTTGCACCTATGTAATAATAATACATGTCGTTTGTTTAGCAAATTTCCATAATTTACAATGCTCAATTCTCTTAAAAGGACAAATTAATAGCCTACAATGACATAAAAATACATACAGCATTCATGCACCAGGGCACTTAAAATGACACAAATTTGTGTATTAATGTATAGGTAGATATGAATACAGGGATATAGGCAGTGACAGGTATGTATAGAAATAATCCCTGCGAATGGTTTTAGAAAAATGGATCAAATAAAAACGCGCTGAATAATACCAAGTAAAAAATAGTAATGTCACAACATAAAATATCAGTCATGAAAACAAAATTTAAAAAAAATATGATGCTAAAAGTACTCTCTTTCTCTCCCCCCCCCCCCCCCCTAATTTGTCTCGGAAAGAGTTATATATATATAAGTACAGTCAAACTTTCCTTAACGGAATCTCGTGTAAAACGGAAACTTGTCTTTAACAGAATCTCCCTATTCCCCCTTGATATATCCCTCTTTAATTACTTGTATAAAACGGAAACCTGTCCAACACGGGTTTTACCGGTATTAGACAGAAAATGCTTTGCCTGCTCAGCCCCGATTTGAAACAAAACTGGCAAGTTTGGTTCTGCTGGCTCTAAACTTAATGCCGCCAGTTGAGGAAGGGGAGTGGGGGTGCAATTTGGGGGTAGATGTTACCCCATCTCTGTGAACCCTGAGCGATGAAGATGGTCAGGGTGGTGTGGGTGTGAAATCTCTCGAGTGCCAGTGAAAGTGCTCGAGTAGCAAGCCGCCACGGAAACTTTCCTGGTTAGCCAGAGGCCAGAGGTGTGAAATCAGTTTGACCAATGCCTGCCGCTCTGATTGTGCGGCCAGCCAATAAAAAAGTTCCTCGACCCGTTGCTACATGGCAGGGAGGGGTGGCATTGGTTGGCTGTGCTTATTACACCAATGGGTGCGGTTAAGGATGGAAGCAAAGGAGATGTTCAAAGGTTTCTGTTTTTAATAGGTCAAACAATGGTTCCTATGAAATGCATGCACTGGTGGTAATTAGATAAGTTATAAGACTGACGCATGTCATTGTCAGAGAGAATAGCAGTTGAGAGGTGTGAAGTTTTGACCACTTCTTGCCGACCGGACAAGCGACACTTGATCCCACTGCCTGGGCCTTTGACACCCCCCCCCCCCTTTCATCTTCCCCCTAAATTCTCCTGTCTACGACGGTATTTTTTTCTGGCTCCCTTGCGATTCCGTCTTACACAGGTTCGACTGTATGTACTTCAGAGGTGCCCATTTTACAGATAAATGCTGATTACTGAAATTGTCAGGATTTTGCCCTAGCGAGTGAGTTTCCACGGGTCTGAAGAGCACAGGTTTTTTTTTTCCTAGCCAATTAGCACTTCTGTTACTTGCTGGAAGATAAATTTGTAAGCAAAAACGTAAAATCACATGGAAAACTAGAAGTGTGTATGTGCCTGGTAAAAGACACTGGATGACACATTTTGAGAAACTGCGTTTTATTGCACTTACTGGTATAAAAATAATTTCGGAACAACTCTCTTTTAGAATTTTAAAGATAGTTTCAGTACTTTGTGATAATCAGTTGATATCATTAGGAGGCTTTGGTTTGCTCATGCAGTGTCATAGGGCACTTCTTACACCCAGAGCCCCCCTTCCTTTACTGTGTGAATACAGTCATGTGCACTACACACCACAAGAAAGCACCTACTTTCCACTAAGACCATTTACGCAATCTTTATTCATAATTTTTCAGGTCAATCTTTTCATGTATCATGCGACAGCAATCAATATTAAGTAATTGTATATTTTTCTCATCTTTCTGAAGATCCTGCTGAAGTCTGACGGCTTCCCAACGTATCACTTTGCCAATGTGGTGGACGACCACTTCATGGGAATCACCCACGTCCTGAGAGGAGCTGTGAGTTATTTGTCATTTTGCTCAGTACCAGCTGTTGAGTGTATAACAGCAATAACAACAGTGACAGCAGTAGTAGTAATAATAGCAGCAGCAACACTATCTAGGACACAACAGCAACGACATTAGTCACCTTGACATTTACAACTGCATGACATTGACAACTGCAATAACAACAGCATCAGCATTTGTAACAACAGCAACTGCCGCGATTATGACAAAAACAAGAACAGCAATGAATCTAAAAGCAATAACACCAACAACAAAGATATTACATAATGTTGATAAGAACAGTTCATGTTCTGTGTGATTTATATGATGACCTCGCTTTCAAGGAATGTCACTCTCTTTATTCAAATCTCGGAAGCATCTATGATATCAATGGAACAAACCATGGGTTTTAGCCTTGCTGTTTTATGAGATGCGTCTACAGTGCAGTCAAGGTTAATGATAATTGAAAGATTTAAATAGTGACAGTACTTCAGTCAACTTTTTGTTAAATGTAAATATAATCTGAACTTGATTTGAGTTGTGTTCTCATTACGGTGTTTGTCTAAACTGGCTTTGAGTTTAATTTTCATGCTATTTTGATGACCTGAAACATGACTGCATAAAACGTTGTCTCCCCACCACCTTCACACCACTTACATTCACTCTCTCCCTTTCTAGGAATGGCTGTCGTCCACACCTAAACACATCCTGCTATACAAAGCGTTTGGCTGGACTCCTCCGAAGTTTGGTCATCTACCCCTCATAGTTAATCCGTAAGTGATGGACAGCAAGCTTTTATTTGTTTGTTTGTTTGTTTGTTTGCATTTTTTTTTGCTTGTTTGTTTGTTTGATCATTTTTCAGGGCTGATTATAATGATGATGATCATCATTCACATCTCCCATAATTTTCTTCAATCTTTTAGAAGTGCGTTTACTTTTATTTTTCTTGTCTCAGTTCAAGGTTATATCATAATTTTATTTTTGTCTGCTTTTGTCTTTCAGGGATGGATCAAAGTTGTCTAAACGGCAAGACGATGTTCATGTTGAACACTTCAGGGTAAGTCGTAGTAAGATTTCTCTTGTGTTTCTTTTAGCAGTGATTTTTGTTTTTGACTCTATAACAGATTAACCTTGTGTTTCTTTTAGTAGTGATTTTACTTGACAACACTTCAAGTCACTCAAAACTTCACTGCCTCTGTGGCATGTAATTGTTGGGAAAAGAATTTTGGTGCCATCCTCATGGTAAGGAATCAAATGACAGAGTCAAATTGTCTTTGGTAATTAATTAGAGCCTGGATTGACTGTCCGTGAGGTGTTAAGAATCTTCATCTCTTAAATATTTTGAGTGGACCAACAATGATACATAGTGATACATATATGATGCACTCAAGCCTTAATGCTGTGCTCATTGGCTTTTTTCCTTATCTGTGGGGATTTTTAAATCAAAGAATCTCTCTCTCTCTCTCTCTCTCTCTCTCTCTCTCTCTCTCTCTCTCTCTCTCACTCACTCACACTCACACACACTCACACAAGCACACACACACACACACACACTTTCTCTCTCTCTTTCTCCTTTTCAAAATGTCATTCCATGCAAAGCATACAACCCTACAAAATAACTCTCAGTCAGATGAAACCCATTTTGAATATTTCAAAATCAAAACTTTCCGTTTCCCTGTGCATCCAGAGTGCTGGGTACTTCCCCCAAGCCGTGTTGAACTACATCACCTCCATAGGTGGGGGCTTCGGGCAGAGGACGCAGACCATGGACCTGGAGGAGATGTGTCGAACTGTAAGGGAATGTGTTGTGTGTTCTGCAGAAAGTACACTAATGTGTTGTGTGTTCAGAAAAGAGTATATGTTGATGTGTTGTGTGTTTAGAAGCCAGTGAATGGATGTGTTGTGTGTTTCGAAGCCAGTGAATTGATGTGTTGTGTGTTTTGAAGCCAGTGAATTGATGTGTTGTGTGTTTTGAAGCCAGTGAATTGATGTATTGTGTGTTTTGAAGCCAGTGAATTGATGTATTATGTGTTTTGAAGCCAGTGAATTGATGTGTTGTGTGTTCAGCAAAGAGTACACTAATGTGTTGTGTGTTCAGAAAAGAGTATATGTTGATGTGCTGATTTTTTTGCAGAGAGTAGAGTGGTGTATAGTGCATTCTGCGGAGTGTGAGTGTTTGTTGATTTGTTGAGTCAGTGATAATAAGCGTTTTGTGTTTTTGGAAGACAATATGCTAATGAATTTCTTGTTCTGAAACTGCTGCGTAACTGTAGATTCATCACGCTGGCACCAGCTGGACTGGGTGAAATAACATGTTACTTTTATATATGTAACCATTTATTCGTATATGTATTTTATAATGTACTAAAAGTGTATTTCTTTCTTTCTCTCTTTCTTACTCTTTCTCTCTCTCTGTCTGTCTCTCTGTCTCTCTCTTTCTCTCTCTCTCTCTCTCTCTCTCTCTCTCTCTCTCTCCCTCTGTCTCTCTCTCCATTTTTCTCTTTTCTCTTATCTCTTTCGTTTCCTCTCTCCATTTCTCTTTTCCCTGTCTCTCTCTCCCTATCTCTTTTTCCTACCTCTTTCTCTTTCACTCTCAGTTTGTTAATATTTCTCTCCCTTTCGTACGTTCATTAAGCACTCACTGAACAGTACACACATCAAACTACTCTCCAGTGTATACTCTGCGTCACATGCCTGCATTGTATCTCATTTTCATTACAGTTCTTTATCTTTACTTTATTATCATTATAATTTTTCCATGATTCCCCTCAGTTCAATGTTGAGGATGTCAGGAGAAACGCAGGTCGCCTCGACCCCTCGTGGCTGGCTGTGGCCAATCGTAATATCCTCCAGGAACGACTTGACTCCAACATTCCTCAAGTGCGGACACAGTTGGTGCAGGCCGTCAGAGACCTTGTCATGGAGACATTTGGTGATAGGTATGGGTTCTCCTCAAAATAATAATAGTAATGATGAAACTATGTGTTAGTTTCAAAAAATATTTTCAATATGAAGAGAAAAGTGAAGCTGACAATAATACAACATGCCACATCATATGCGTCTCTCAAATCTCATGCAGGAATTTATCACAGATTTTGAAACTTACACATATATCTATATATTACGTCCATCGGTTTAAAAAATGGGTTTTTTTTGCAATGAGTTCATTAATACCTTACACAACTGATGTAGGTGGCGCAAGCAGTCACTATGTTAAGGAACTGTAGCTTTGACTGACTGGGTTTTCCAGCTCAAAGGCATCGAATAAGAAATCTTTACAAAGATAGGATAATGAACCTAATAAGTGAGAGACAATTCTGATGGATGGTTGGCGGGTGATGTGATGTGGTTTCCTCCTTCATTTCTGTCAAACATCTACCATCCTTTTCTCTCTTCCTTCTCCTGCTTCTTTTCTTTGTATGTTTCTCTGTGGTAACTCCTCTGATCTTCAGCACCTGTATGACCTATTTGTACTGCAAGTGCCATAAAACTCTTACTAACTAAAACAAAGAAGAGTTGCAATCTATTTGAACTTTTTTTCTGTGGTGTAGGATGTGTCCAGGGCTGCTGCGAGACCAGATCCTGGGAGAGGAATACATCCTGGGCGTGGTGCGGTGGAGTTTGATCGATGTGAGTTGAGAAGGAAGATCAATAATTTTGTTTTTGTTCTTTTTTACATTCATCATAAATGTTTTGCACATCTAACGTTTACAGTGGAGTCGGATTAAATCAAAATCTGTGGGACCACCAGATTTTTTTTAGTTTAGCCGTGTTTTCAGTTTAAAGACATTATTGAAATAGCAAGGAGAACCAACCGGGAATTCTGTTTTCTTCGTTTTACTGCTTTTTTTGTATTACACGTGTGCAATGTCAGCGGACTCTATTGTATTTAGTTCCTGTGTGTGCAAGAGTGTGTCTGTGTGTACGCTGAGGGAAGAGCAGCTGTTCTTGTTTTTGTTTTTTTATAAGTGTATAGTTGTTTTTTTGTTTGTGATTAATCATTTAACTGTAATTATTTTCTGCTAGAATTTGTCTAAGTGTGCGCAGTAGGGTTCAGAAGGTACCCAGCTTACACTGAAATATGGGGCAGGGTGGTGTCTCAAAATTACCAATTTGTAGGCTATGTCTTTTTAATCCTTTTTGCAGCGATCCTGTGTTTGCATCCAAAAAGCAGTGTTTAATATAGGGCCTAAATCAAAGGAACTTTTTGTTGGTGGATCAAGTTTTGTTTTTTAAAATTAATTTTTTATTTGCTCACTGGCCTGCTGAAGTACCGTGCAAAGTTCTGTGAGCATTGGTAAATCAAATGATGAA